CTGCCTGGGTCCTTGAGGAAGTTTCAGTTCAGTAAACAGGAAGGCGCAAAAAAGCCCACATTTCATTTTACATCAACTTCCTCCTTTTAATGATGATACAGGAACACTCCCACCAGCGACCCCACTCCTTACCAGGCCTCTCAACACACACACACACACACACACACACACACACACACACACACACACACACACACACACACACACACACACACACACACACACACACGCGCGCGTGACACAAATGTAGTTCCTCTCCATGTCGGGGTTATAGAGGGAGGCTGGTTCATGGGAAGGTGCAGCTCTTTTGTTTTTGGGCTGTGTATCATCTGTTTCCCGTGTGTGTACACAGGGCAGCTCCAGCCTGCAGAGCCGCCTCTCCTCACCATTGTGTGTGTGTGTTCTGTGCATTATGGGTATTATGTGTAGGGCTTGCTGCTCCTTTGAACCTGTCCAGGCTGTCACAAGGCGCTGACTTTGGCTTTGCAGTGTGTGTTGTTGATGATGAGTGGGGTGAGTAACTCCTGCCACTGGTGCTTTTTTATTTCAAGGTGTGTTTGCTATGTGTGTGACTCACTGGCTTTGGGAAGAGGGGTGTGTGTTTGGATGGTATAGCAGAGGGGACTGAGTTGGGCATGGGAAGGTCTTTTGAGGCTTTTTACGCACCTGTTACGCACTTGTGTGTGACGTTTATTTTTGGTCTAATTTGGAATTAAATTCATATTGTTTTTATATATTTGTATGATATTTGAGTGAGGATATAGTGAAGCGTAGTCTATAAAAAAAACATATATATGGCTTACCTATGTGTGTGTGTGCGTATTTGTCACACACGCACTTTCTTCAGTCACAGCATCTCATGTGATTGCTTTGCGTTTAAATCGGCATTTGTGAGGCCTTAATGTCTCTGCATACTGATAGGGGTGAACCGCGCGGCCACGGCTCATGAATTATGCACGAGCAGGAGTCACCGCGAGGTCAGCAGACATGCTCGAGCCACGGAAGAGCGCAAAGTGAAGATGGCACATACCCCCCTCTTGTGTGTGTGTGTGTGTGTGTGTGTGTGTGTGTGTGTGTGTGTGTGTGTGTGTGTGTGTGTGTGTGTGTTAAT